TATATATGGTAATTATGCTCGAGCGCCCTTTCGGACTTTATTGCACTGCGTCCGAGTGATTAAGATTTTGCACTGATGGTAGGGGGAGGGGGGGAGGGGGAGAGCACAGGGGAATGGGAGGGGAGGAGGGGGGGAGGGGAGTGGGTGAGAAGGGGGACTGGGAGGGGAGGAGGGGGGGGGAGGGGAGTGGGTGAGAAGGGGGACTGGGATGGGGGTGGGGAGAGAAGAGAGGAGAGGGGAAAGGGGAGGGGGAAGGGGAAGGGGAGGGGAAAGGGAAAGGGGAGGGGGAGAGAAGAGAGGAGAGGGGAAAGGAGGAGGGCAGAAGGAGGAAGGAGGAGGGAAGAAGGAAGGGGAGGAGGTAAATAAGGAAAAGTGAAGGAAGAAAGGTAACGGAGAGACAGGGGATAAATGGTCGTAAAAAACAAAACGAGGGAAATAGATAGAAAGGCAGAAAATAGAACAAGATGTAGAGAGAGGGCGACACTCATACGAAAAAAAAAATCTAGGGAGAGATAGAGAAAGAAAATAACAGGCAGAAAGACACACAGATAAACAGACAGAAAGAGAAAGAAAGGGTTAGACAGAAATAGAAAGAAAGGGACAAAGAAAAACAGAAAGAAAGGAACAAACAGAAACAGAAAGAAAGGGACAAGCAAAAACAGAAAAAAAAGGGACAGACAGACAGAAACAGAAAGAATATAAGAGATAAAGACATAAAAGGCAAAACACGAGAGGCCCTCAAAACTAATGCACAAAACCATCAATATGAAATGAGAGTAAACATTAATTAAAACACACACAGCACTCTACACCCCAGAATAACTTATTATTTTTCCCTAATGATTTCGCTTGTGCTCATGAAACCCGAGGAGCACAGGAGCCAAGCGGTGGAGGTAAAGACCGCTCCCTTAACATCCGGGAGAGAAGTATTCCCGATTGCGAAAGAGGGAAGGATGATGGAGGAGTGAGAGGGAGGGAGGAGATGGGAAGAGAGGGAGAGAGAATAGGAATAAAATTAAAAAGGGAGAGTGGGAGGGGGGGAAAAAACGCATATTCTTGTTTTTCCTTTTCTTTTTTGCAAACGTGACGTAAGTTTACCGGGTTAATATTTAGCTCTTATAATAATTTCTTCGAATTGCATTAAATTACTTTGATGGAATCTATACAAAGTCCGTAATCTATCTTAAAGTTATTGGAATTTTCTTCGGAAAATGAGCAACCCTACCTCAAGTGAAACAATTTGACAGACTTAAGGTTTGGGAGAAACAACAGAAAAGACCGCACTCTGTTTGCGATCAGCTGTTCACAGTTTCGAACCATCTCTTAAGTCTAACGTGTCAGTGGCTAGTCCCCTTAAATGCGACTCTATAAACTTTAAGTAGACCCCCAACTACATAAAACGAACTACCACAAAATAAAACAGTTGCTGTGTTCAATATCGATCTCATAAAAAGACGTCAAACAGATTTTGATGTATGAACCAACGATGCGCCCCAACCACTCTCCCGAGGGGCGTTCCTCATGCAAGGCCTTTACACGTTAACTGCACGATTACGGTGACGCCCCAGTTTCGCTGTTGGGTGTTATCATGCTGCTATATTGAGAGGCATGCAAAGTGCCATTCGGATTCACTTGCATCGTAATGATTGCAAGCTACCCCAGCAATCTTTGGAAGAGGAAACGTGGCATTTAGATGGATTTTTGGTGTATTTTGAACAAATATTTGGTGTATTTTGATCGAATGTGCTCGTTTATGAGGATGGTTAGTTGTGTGTAAGATATGATCGTTGGAGGTTACATGATTGTTTTTGAATCATATTCATGTAAAACACACGCATAAAACACATGAAAAAATGTTTCTACCTAAGCAACAGTATCCGACCTTAGCCTATATATATTCCCCAGTCAGGGACTCCCCTAACAACGTCCCTCACCTCTGGGCCCCTTTACAGCATAATGAACCCAACCCAACCCAAGTTAATCTTATAGAGCCACTTTAGGGTTACCTTCACAGGTATGGGATTACGGTGACGATAGAAACTAAAGAGGATTGAGAAACTCTTATACTATATATATATACATCTATCTATCGATCTATCTAAGCACACACACACATATATATGTACATATATATATATATATATATATATATATATATATATATATATATATATATATATATATGTGTGTGTGTGTGTGTGTGTGTGTGTGTGTGTGTGTGTGTGTGTGTGTGTAAATCTGAGACATAAAGCATTTGTTCCAATACTGTCACAGAAGTAAAAGATTAGTTTTGATGAGATACAAGGAAATACAATAACAAAACTGAGCTTAAACAATTGTAAAAAGTGCGATCAACCTCAAAATACTCAATACAAGACAAGTAAAGACTGTATTCATCAGTAACGCAGGACAAATGACTCAGGAAGCGGCCTGCTCCACTCCGTCATGCTTACACGAGGTGACAAAGCAGTACGTGACTTCAAGAAGAGGCGCCTGACTT